ATTGGAAATAAATTAAGTCGAGCTTTGTTATCCATACACAAATTGACAATTAAATTACATTACTCCTTTTGTCCCATTGTGTTTTGTTTCTTTTGTTGTTTTTGAGTCAAATATGATGAATTTTGAGTTTTAGTTAAACAAAAATGATAATGTATATTTGTATGAAAATAATTTTATTAAATACACTCGTTGAAAATTTTTAGAATTTTATTTCATCATACTAATATTTAATAAAATTTAAGAGTAATTGATGCTCAAAATTTGTCTAATTTAATTCGAAAAAAATAAACAAGACAAATAAAGAAAGTACTTCCTCCGTTTTAAATCATTCTTTCACATTATTATTCACATGATCAAAATTTAATATCTTTCTTTATTTATTTTTGTTAATTATTTAATAAAATAATATAGTATTGTGACATCTTGTTTTGTGAAACTTTCGATTTAATTTTTAAATATATCAATTTTATTTTTTAATTTTACATCTACAAAATTTAATTTAAAATAAAATCTGTCAAAATTTGATTTTTACAGCGGAGAAGTTAGGGCTCCCATATCTGAGCGCATTTCTGGACGCATTGGGCTCCAACTTCACGCACGGAGCCAATTTCGCCACCGCCGGGTCCTCCGTCCGGCCGCCGAACACCACCCTCCACCAAAGCGGCTTCAGTCCTTTCTCCTTAAACGTCCAATTTTACCAGTTCAGCGACTTCCGCCGCCGGTCCCAGACCATTCTCCTCCGCCGCCGCCGCGCCGCCGCCGATGTTTTCCGAGCATTGGTCCCTCACTCCGGCGTTTTCTCCAAAGCTCTCTACACGTTTGACATCGGCCAGAATGATCTGACCGCCGGCTATTTCATGAACATGACGACCGGCGAAGTCAGAGATTACGTCCCCGATGTGCTGGATCAGTTCACCACTGTGGTCAAGGTTCCATTCTTAATTCTAATCTTTCTAGATAAGCCTTTATTGTCACATTTTGTCTTGTAAAATTGTTGATGTAAATGTAATTTTTAAATGTTATTCTCCCTCCATCCCAATTTTGATTACAATTTTTTTTTTCTCACTTCTTGATAATTTGATTATTTGATAAAAATATTTTTGTCATCTCTTATTTTGTAAAAGTTTTTGCGTAGATTTTTAATATTTAATTTTTATTTTTTAATTAATGTAATAATTTGTAAATAAAATGATTTCAAAAGATACAGAGTTTTACATCGTAAATCCCAATTTGTTATCAAATTTGGGACGGAGAGAGTAAAAGTTTCATATTTTATTTCTATACCAATTTCTTCAGACGAAGTTAGATTTGATTTGATTTTATTAAAGTTATATTTAAAGTTATTTTTTATCCGATCTGATTCTAATATGAAGAAGTAGTTCTCCTTCCGTCCCAGAAAGAATGCCACGTTTACTATTCTGGCTTCTCGATAACTTTTGTTTGTTTACTCGTTTTGGTTGACCATTTGATAGAATAAAATATTCTTGTCGCATCTTGTTTTGTAGAGTTTTTCATATACTTTTGAATGTTGTAATTTTTACTTTTTATTACTCTACCAATTTGAAATTAAAGAAAAGAGATGATATTTTGCACGTCGTTCGAAGTGTTGCAAATAAATTGGGACGGAAGGAGTAACTAAAAAAGAATATATTGAAGACAACAAGCTTTAGGGAGTGAATGAATGATCCAGTAATTGTCGTCTCCACCATGAATATTTTTTTTTTACAGAGCGTATACAATGAAGGCGGGAGATACTTCTGGATACACAACACTGGCCCCGTCGGCTGTTTGCCATACGTGATGGACCGACTGCCGGTGAGAGCGGCGGAGGTGGATAGTGTCGGTTGCGCTGCCCCATTCAACGACGTTGCCCAGTACTACAACCGCATGTTGCGGCACGCTGTGGTCCAGCTCAGGAAGGATCTCCCAAACGCCACACTCACATACGTCGATGTCTACTCCGTCATGTACGATCTCATCAGCCACGCCGATGAACATGGTAATTTGTTTCGCTCGTCTGAAATTAGTTGTCCACTTTCTATATTTAATTTTAAAAATACTATCTTCGTCCCTGAGTATTTGTCCAATTTTGTGGAGGGTTCGGAGATAGGACGCCACTTTAGAGTCCAAGAGAGCACAATAGAGTCAGACATCAAAATATGATACTTAATATCAGTGTCAAAAGAATTCCATCGTATATAAGTGGGATTCTTTTGACACTCATTTTGCGTTTGAGGAGGGTTCGGAGATAGGACCCTACCGTAGAGTCAAACAGAGCAGCGTAGAATCAGACGTCAAAATGTGACTTAATGTCAGTGTTAAAAGAACTCCATCGTATACGAGTGAGATTCTTTTGTCACTCACTTTGCGTGTCATAATGTGACATCGTGTCATTTTGTAGAGCTACGGTGTTCCATTGCACTCGAAGTTGATCCTAACCCCTACCCTCCCCATTTACTCTGATTTCCTCAAGTACCACTGTAAAAATATCTGTGAAATTAAGATGAAAAGCACGAGATTTGAGAGTAGTATCTACTTCGAGACTCAACGAAACACTGTAGAGTCTCAGTGTCATAATATGACGCTCAAGGTAAAGAACTCTACCATTTGTTATTAGTGGGGGTTCTTCTGTCACCCACTTTGAGTGTCATGATGATATGCCAACCTTATTGACTTTCAGACGAAAACCAAAGTGTTAATATTATAGTTAAGCAAACACTCGAGCTAAGTGACTTTCGCCTTTTCAGGTTTTGTGCATCCACTGCAGGCATGTTGTGGGCATGGGGGGAAGTACAACTACAATGTGCATATTGGGTGTGGAGGGAGGATGAGAGTGAATGGGACACAAGTAGAGGTGGCAAAATCGTGTGGCGATCCATCGACTCGGATCAACTGGGATGGGGTGCATTACACCGAGGCGGCTAACAAATGGGTTTTTGACAAAATCGTCAACGGGTCATATTCGGATCCGCCGGTGCCGCTGACAATGGCTTGTCACAAGAACTAGATTGCCGTGCAAGTTGTCGACGAGCTTGTTCCCGCCCTTCATACCAACATCGTTTCGCATATATGAGTTTCTTTTTAAAAAAATGATGGGAATCCAACACAGGTGCCTATATGGATCTCAATCACAGATGATTTATACATACATAGGCGATATTGTCTGTGAACACAATCTGTGTATGTATAAAATCACCTGTAATTGTCATCTGCGGGGCAACCGTCGTAGATTCGTAACATTATCCTTGCTTCTTTTTTTAACAATAATAGTCGGAGAAGTGGTGACAAATATGCATATGTTTGAGTCTAAGTTTTATCCCAAAGAGAACATACTCAAGTCTGCATGAGCATCGAAATAAAATTTGGTTTCACATATCGTGATCAAAATTTATACGTAAGTAATTTTGAAGGATTAAAATCTACTCCATTTATGATAAAACTTTCCAATACTTATTTTTTTTGCACTAGAGTTATTTTCAATCCATCAAATAATCAATCAAGAATCAAATAACGCCGAGATTATGTTTATTCGCATCCATCCAGTTTTTAATGTATTTAAAAATTCATAAATGATGCAATAAAAAAATCATAATTGAGATTTGTTTAAGAATATATGGAATACCTTGTCAAATGACGAATTCAATCAAAATTTCAAACTAGTAATTGTAAATTCGAAAGAGATTTCTATAATTCTAACACGTAGAGATGTGATTTCTTTTTATTCAAACCTTTCGTGTTAACATTGATTTCTTTTACGTGGTAATAAATCAAGTAAAGATAAACATTCAAACTCGTACCATCTAACTCACTAAAACTCTGATCAGTATTTAGAATCTGTAAAAAAGTAAAAGAGAATTTTATTTTGGGATGTTGAAAACATTACACATTTCTCAAGCACCAAACTACCAACACATTTCTCTATCACTCACTGTCAGTGTTCTAGAAAGCCAATACTCCATAATACGGACCAAGACCATGTTCTCATCAATTTATTTTTTTATTTATTTATTATTCCTTCTCTCCTTAAATGTTTACCACATTTTAAAAAACAAAGGCAAAATATCAAGTTTTTTCAATTCATTCTATTTAAATATTGGTATAGAAATAAAAAAATTACATATTTAAAAACAACATGAAAAAATCTTCAAAATAGGAGGTCTCAAGAATATTTTTTGTGTGAAATAGTCTATGAGAACGCCCAAATAAATAAAAGTTTCTGTGATTCTTGAAACGCAAATGTGGCAAACATTTGGAATTGAGGGGATACTTATTTTCTTGGAATCGGATCAGATTTTATTTCAATCATATCAAAACTAATTAGATCAAGTAAAGAGATCAATATGACATGTAACTTTCATACTAAAAAACATGTATCCTATAAATGCTAGTCACACACTAGTATTAAGCTATTTGTATACTACAACTTGTATCCTATTTTGTACTTCAAAGGCATACACTGACATTTTGTGTTAATGTGATTCTAGTGGTGTACAACATATTTTATTCAATTTACGAGGAAAAAGAAATCACTTTTTGAAATTATTTTATTTACAAATAGAGAAAAAAAAGTGTCATAAAAAATGGAGAGTAAGGAAATGGAGTACTCCCTCCGTCCCTCATATATCTTTCCATTAGTCCTTTTTATTTGTCCATCATAGATCTTCTTATTACCTTTTTTAACAACTAGAATACCATAACTACCATCACTTACTTTATTTATTATACTTCATCTACCTCACTTAATACACTCTACCCATTTTAATTAAGGGTATTATGGTAAACTTTTACTTTTTTTCAACTCTGCTTAAAAACCACAAAAAGTCAAAATGAGAAGATGAGTGACGGAGGGAGTATTATTTTTGACTTGTTTTAGCTTTGGTCAAACCAGTCATTGTTTTCTTATTCGGTACTCCATCATATTTGTGGGCCACCTCAATCCAAACGGCTACTTTCCCTTGTTCACGCAATCGCGTTGCGTTTATATATGCAACTCAGATTTAGTTTCTTCGCCAATCATCTTCCGCATTCCGATCTTCGTGCTTGAGCTCTCCGAACCTCCCGTCAATGGACGCGCCCGGCGGCGCGGCGGCGGTGATCACGGTGGAGTACCTGGAGACCGCCAGGTCGAGAGATCTACTCTCCAAGTTCCCGGACAACTCCGCCTTCGATTTCGACTACTCTCAGAGCGCAATCTGGTCTCCTCTCGTTCCCCGGCACCTGATCCCTGTCTCCGGCGGCCGCAATCTCGGATCCGGTCCCCGGAGGGAGCTGGCCTACGAGGAAGCGGCGGTCAATTTCAGGGAGGCGACGGCTAATTTCCGGAGGAAGCTTCTAGATTCCGTGATCTGTAATGTCGATTACCGGCGGGCGATGAGGAAGAGGAAGAAGATGATGAAAAAGGATTTTGATTTTTCTCCGATCGGTTCTTCCTCTAAGCTCGCCGCCGCGAGTACTCCCCGAAAGGTCAATACTGTACATCTTTGTCTGCATAAAAGTATTTATTTTTCTTATTTTACTCTTCAAAATTGAAGAATTTTAGCTACTAATTAAATAAAAATACTTCCTTCTTCTCTAGAAAAAATTGTTGCAGTTTGACTTTTTTATTCAAACTATGACACCTTTTCACCACCAATAAAATATACTCCCTCCGTCCAAAAACTATCTTCCCGTGTGTGTTTACTGATTTTATTTTCAAATTCAATTTATTTGATTGTAGGTGTAAAATTCAGAAATAAAATTTATATATTTAGAAACTACATCAAAACTTCTACAAAATAAGAGGTTATAAGACTATTATTTTATCAAATAACTAACAAAAATAGATAAAGAAAGTGATTTAAGTTTGATCAAGTGAATAACAACTGGGGAGATAGTTTTAGAACGGAAGGAAAAATTAAAAATAATTAAATATTATATAATTTTGATATTTCAAAAACAATATTTTAAAATAAATCCAATTTTACTAACTTTCTATTATGACTAAATATACTTTATCCATAGTTTGCCGTCAACGAGTGTCACAATTTCACCAAAAAAGTCAACGGGGACAATTTTTTTTAGTCAAAGGTGAAATTATGGTGTCTAGCTTATACCATCTCCTTCCCAAAAAAAATTTACAATTTGATTTTTTATGGAGCTTTTGAAAAAAGATTCTAAAATAAAAATGTATAATTATAATTTATTTAGATAAGAGAGAAATTATATTTGTGCATCATAAATATATTGTTAAAATATTAAATAAAGTAGGTACATTTATTTTTAGGAGGTCTAAAAAAAGAAAGGATAATACTCTCTCTCTCTCTTCCCATTTATTTGTGAACTTTTAATACGGGAGTAATAAATTTTGAGAAAAAAATTTTATTAACTAAAATGTAAATTTACATGTCATATTTTGTTTCTTTACATTTTTAAAGATAAATTTGTACATCTCTAACAAATGTGACAGATTTAGACAAAATGCAAGTGAATGTAGAAACACCCGAATAAGATAGTCAACCGTTTTTTGTTTTATATAACTTTTACACTATGTTTGGTTCAAAGAATTTAAAAGGGAAAGAAAAAAAATATGAGAAGGAAAACATTTTTTCTTGTTTGGTTAGAGAGGAAAAGAAAAGAAAAGTGGAAGGAAAAAAAATGAGAAAGCAAAATGTATTAAGAGGATGGAAAACCAAATTCCTCCCATTTTGGTGAGGAAACTAATGGAAAATCATTTTCTTTTCTTTTCTTTCCAAATTCCATGAACCAAACATAGTGTTAATGTAATATTTAATTATTTAAGATATATAAATTTTACTTTTTAATTGTATAATTTCTACAAGGGTTGGTTCTCATGACATTGGTTTCCCAATCTCATTGGATGACCCGGGAGTACTCCGATGTTTCGTTCGTAAAATTGACGATTCTTACCCCCAATCACCCGGTATACCCTCACTCCGTCCCAATCCGTACACACTCCTCACCCCCTTTAATTGCATCCCAAGTTAATTTTGACCAATAAGTTTCTACAAATAATACTCCCTCCGGCCTCCGTCCCACTGTTTTTGTCCACTTACCTTTTGGCACACCATCTAATGCACTTCTTTAATCCATTTTATTTTGTAATTTGTATATTAAAAAATTATAAAAATTATATATTAATAATCTATATGTTAAGACGAATCAAACAAGATCACACATGACTATTTTTAGGCTTACACATTGAGAGAATTTGATGAGTCAAAGTGCTTAGATGAACAGTTCCAAAAGTCAAAACTGGACAAAAACAATGGGACGGAGGTAGTATAATACTACGTATTAGGGTATAAATAGTTACTGATCCGAATGTGGTGAATGTGCAGGGTTGGGCAAAGGTATTGAAAGCAGCGGCGAAACATTTCAAGAAAAGCAAGAATAAACCTCAAATAAAGTGACTTTTCCTCGTATTTGTATTTTACTAATATGACATTTTGTGGAAGGCAAAAAAAAAATATGGCCCGGTTCCATGGCCACTGGAATCTAGTAGCCACGGAAGTCACTGCCGTTCATAAAATTGATGATTCCTACCCCCCCTAACCCCCCTGGTAAAGCCCCCCGCCAAGTCTCGACCCAAACTCATCACCCCACCTACGTCAATTGCACCTCGTAAGCATAAAGTCAAAACTTTTTACTTTAAAGTCAATTATGCTTACGAGGTGCAATTGACGTAGGTGGGGTGATGAGTTTGGGTCGGGACTTGGCGGAGGGTTTACCGGGGGATGGGGGGTTAGGGGTGTAGGAATCATCAATTTTATGAACGGAGTTTCGTAGGGGCACAGTGGCTCCCGTGGCCACTGGATTCAAGTGGCCATGGAACCGGGCCGAAAAAATATGATATTTTGTGCATTTCGTAATTCGTATTACTGTATTAGTGCTTTTCAAGCTTGATTAATTTTGGCGTAATGAAAAATGACAAATGCCCCATAGAAAAATGACTATTGTATTATGTATATCCGACACATAAATAAACAAAAGTTTTCGCGATTTGTAAATAGTAAAGTGTGTAAATTATTTAGATACGATGAGATTATTATGATTATATAGTAGGATAATCAGTTTCGGACAAAGGTGACTGCTTTTTTATATCCAAAATTAGTTTTTTAAAATATTCATGTGGGTGATCATTTTATTGAATAATTTTTTAACACTATATTTTTCTAACATTTTGTAACTCCATCTAGTTTTTTCAACTTCTAGTTTCTTAAAATTCATTCTAGTTTCTTCTAATTTTTTTGAGTTTTTTCAAAATCTAAGTGTAGAATTTCAACCGAGAAGAATAGAGGCAACCATACGGATGGATATTGGGCTTGATGAGTAAAATAATGATGTTTGATTGAAGTTACTTTAAAATGAACTAGTATTTTTAACCAGTGCTTTGCACGGTCAGAAATTTTATTAATAAGTCCTCACACTACATGCAAAAATCGAATAATAAATTCAAACCATTGTGATCAGCTACCTTTCCATAGATCAGTCCTTGGCAAACTCTAACCAGTCCACATTAGCAATGTGAGTATTAGCAAATATAAACAAATTATGGAGTATATCATAATAAAAAGAGCCAATTACCAAGCATACCTATAGCCCGATGTCTTTCTCCTTATAAGCGTTGTTTAGTAATAACATCTTCATCCTTTTTGTTCCATGTTAACAATGTTCAAAATAAGAACAAAAGTTACAACTTTATAATTCTACACATTAACACTACTAATACCTTGGTGAGTATCTCAAATTACAATGCTTGTTCACTATTCACAAGGTCAAACTTCATTCACTTTCTTTCTCTATTTTCGCTAGCAAATTGATAAAATAAAATATTGTTGTCACTACTAGTTTTGTAGATCTTTTGATGTAGTATTTTGATATGTAATTTTTATTTTTTAATTCTATACCATTTGTCATATAAAATGATTTGGAAATAATTTCAGTCAAACACCGTACACCGAAACAGGCGTTACAAAATGGGACGGAGGGAGTAACAAGCTATAAAGAAAAAAACATTGGGACCCTTTTTTATTGTTTTTCTAGCACTTAAATATAGAGCCAAAATAAATTTAAATAAAAATCTTACCTACCAAGGCCCTTCATTACTGTGAAGGATTGGAAGCCTGACCAAGTTTTACAGAACCCAAACATAACAATGATGGTGAAGGAAAAAAAAGATGTAGTGTAATATCCAATGAAATTAAAGTTTCCTAATCTAAACTAATCTCATACTCCCTTCGTCCCAAAAAGTTTGTTGCGTTTAAAAAAAACTGCGTCCCATAAAGTCCGTTACATTTCTATCAAAAAACCACTTTTACCTCTTACTTTTTCATACCCTACCTATCACATCTTACCTTTTTCCTAATAATTTACCAATCACACCCTACTTTTACCCATCACATCAAGGGTATTTTTGGAAAGTCAATACCAAAATATCCCTCTCTTAATTTTACAAAAAGTCAAACCGTCCCATTCTATTTGGGACAGAGGGAGTACCTTTCTGCACTGCTTAAGGTGTTCCATGCCTGTCAGTATCGAATGAAGCTTCTCACCATCCCCTCTAAATAAATTAAGTCCATCAATGTAAATAATTGTTTGCTTTCCAAATTAATTTTAAAGTAAAAAAAATAAAAACTTGTGTAAATAAATCAATTTTTTTTAAATGAGTAGCTTACTCGAGAAGCCGAAAATATGAAAATTTGAGAAGAAATACATCAAACTGACTCTCTGAAACCCTCAATGAATCGTTGTCCATCTCCAATTTCTAAAAATCCAATAAACATTTTTAAAAAATTAAATAGAAAAGGAAGATAAGGTGTTACCACTTTTTTTTTGAATCTATTTCTTCTCTGGTGCGCTGGTTTCCTCCATGGGCGAGGCTAAGCTAAGGCAACATATGCCAAAAGTTCTACAAAATAAGAGGTGACATGACTATATTACTTTATCAAATGAGTAGAAAAAGATAATTAAAGTTAATCATGTAAATAGTAAATATTTACTATTGGGATTTAGAAGTAGAATATTAGTGAGATATGATGGTAGAGATAATACATGAGTTGACTGATTCATTGGCCTCCATAATAGTAAGTCGGATAAAGACCAGTTAGAAGATTAACTGATGTAATGTGATACTCTTAGAGCCTCTTCATTTATAGTTTGAACTCTTAACTTCCAGTTTTTTCCAGTTCCTTCCAATATCTTCCAACTTTTCTCATTTTCTTCAAATTCTTTCTATTCCTCAACCAATTACTCTAAAAATGATATATTTTAATGTGATTATTATTATTATTATTATTATTATTACAACTGTTATATTCATAACTATAGTTTATAAATTATTTTTTCATCTCACTATTTTTACGATTCACACCTATTATTTTTTTCATCAACTTTTTAATATGAATAAGACATTTTTTTGTATATTAGTCTACATCATAAAACAGAAAAACATCAATGTGTTAAATTATACTAAAAACATCATTATATATGACAAGGAAGATATACGATCATTGTGAAACTAAACTTTTAGCTATCAAAATAATACTAATATGATAGAAGAACAAAAAGAACTATTTTGTAGATAGATACTCATAAAAGAAGAATCACCGAGGTAATATTTGATAATAGAGGACTAAATAGAGAAAACCTCTCTGTTATAAAGGATCAATTATGGAATTTTTACTCTTAACTTTATTACGGAGTACATTATAATACACCTATTGTAAAAAGATTTACCTCTTTACTATTACACTATCTTGATAATTTTTTGTATTTTTCATTGATTATTTGATAATTAATATATTAAATCATTATAATACACCTTCTATTGTAAAAAGATTTACCTCTTTAGTATTACACTATCTTGATAATTTTTTGTATGTTTTCATTGACTATTTGTTCACTTTGACTTTTTTGGTCAAAACTAGTAAACTTTGATCTTAAATCAAATAAAATGATATTAGAAACTAATATAAATATAGTTTTATTAGATTTATTATATTAAATTATTTTAAAATATTATTTTATCTAATTAATATATAATATTATTTATTTAATCATAGGCTAAATGTTGAAAATAGTTGATCGAAAAAGTCAAATTTGAACAAATACTCAGGTAGGAAGATAGTATAATTTTGTATATAGTTGTTAGGTTAAAATCCAGCATTGGTCCTTTAACTTTATGAGTTGGGCACGATTGGTCCTTCAAGTTTCAAAAGTCCATAAATAGTCCTTTAACTTTATGAGTTCTGCACCATTGGTCCTTCAAGTTTTAAAAATCCATAAGTAGTCCTTCAGGTTCATGTCAGCCCTCCAGATGAAGTCCTTTTGACAGTAAATATTAAAAGTTAAACGAAATTCTAGTTTCATATAATACGAGTAAATTCCACTAGGTATGACTACTCCGTGTATTATATGGAGCTAGTATTCCATTTAACTTTTAACATTTGCTGTCAAAAGGACCTCATCTAGAGGGCTGATGTGTATTTGAAGGACTACTTATGCACTTTTAAAATTTGAAATACCAATCGTGCATAACTCATAAAGTTGAAGGACTATTTATGGACTTTTAAAACTTGAAGGACCAATCGTGCACAATTGATAAAGTTGAAGGACTAATGGTGGAGTTTAGTCATAGTTGTTAGCTATGTAATTTTTTATTTTTTATTTTTTATTTTTTATTTTTATACCATTTACGCCTGGCATCGGGTTTAGAATCGGTGGCAGCGGCGGCCGTGGACGGCGAAATGGCAGAATTCACGGTACGAATGAGTGGTATGTGGGCCGGAGCTCCGTCCCGGCTATTTCCGCCTTCTCGAACTCCGAGGACTCTAAGGCGGCGAAGCTTCGCAAAATCCTAGAGTCGCCGGGGATTCATCTCGGTCCCGCCTGCTTCAATGCTCTCAGCGCGAAGCTCGTCGAGAGAGCCGGATTTAATTTCGGATTCACCACTGGTACTTATCTTATCTACTCCAATTGCAACTGCTTCCTGCTCCCGTTTAGCTTACTGGTGTTGATATCTCTTCTATGTGCTTTTCGTTTATATTGTTGAGGACTATCAATCTATCATCATCATCCTATGGGGTGCAGTATAAATGTTGATCAATTGTACGGAGTAGTTTTTAGTTTTTACTCCCTCAATTTATAAGTGGCAGGCAAACAAACAGAGAGGTTCGAGTGCCACCGCACTGCGGTGCCACTGTACACCTTGGTGCTCCATTCGAAAAATTGATGGTTCCTATCCCTAACCCCTGGTAACCCTACCTCGACTCGATCTAAACCCACTCCACACCTTTGTCAATTGGACTCACAAATTTAGTTTACTTTGTAGTCAAATTTTTGAATCCAAAGTTAACTAAACTTTGGGGGTCCAATTGACAGGGGTGGGTTCAGGTTGGGCCGGGTCAGCGGTTTACCGGGGATTAAGGGGGTAGGAACCATCAATTTTATGAACAGAACACCGTAGGTGCCCCAAAATCCTAGTGGCACCATAACAGAACCGTGCCCGTAAACAAACCTTATGGTTATACCTTGTGTTCTAAATTTCATGTGTAGTTTGGTGTACGTGGTACTACACTAGTATTTTAATATTTGGAATTAAGGCAATATTATTTAATGTGACGGATCAAATAGTCACAAATTCAAAGGATTTGCATAGGCAACATATATTAAAGTGAATTTGGGACACTCATTGAGTAAAATCTCTTTATAGGATGCATCAATAGAGTGATTATGGTCTATATATGACACCATCTTTCCTTCGGCCCCCAAATTTTGATGGCTATGTACGACTGTACCTCTTTGACGCTCTCAGAGTCACCATTGTTGCTGTGTATGAGTGTATCCCCTTATCCGCCTATGATTTATCCATGCCTAAGACTGATTTAGATTTGGTTAATCCCGTTCAAGCCCCTAGGTGCTACGCTCTAGTATACTGTCTAGGGATGCCTACTGGTTATACCCCTATAGAGAAAAATGAAAGGACAACTACAAAGTAAATGTATTTAGTTAATGAGCACTTTTTTTTAGGATGGTTGGAGACTTTCTCTTTGTACTTCACAGTCACATGATCAGCTTGTTCATTTAGCATCTCAAAACTATTTGTTGTTTAGAGAAGCAGAGGAACGCTCAATCAAGGTTATGGTTCACTGCATTTTTTTGTTTCATTGGTCAAACAAAAAGAGAGAAGGACACGATGTGGAAAAAACTACTCCATATTAACTTCAAGTTTACAATTGATCTGCGGGTCATATATTTAAAAGCTTCCTTTGATCCTTTGATATAATTTCTGTGTTCATGTGGTCACAAATAGATTTATGTATTGGGGGTCACATCTAGATGCCGGAGCATGCATATTAGTATTAATGATCTATAATGCTTTAATAAGGGTTTGGAATATCGGCTGCTCAGTTGGGCTTACCCGACACGGGGCTAATGTCTTATGGGGAGATGGTGGCTGTGGGACAAGAGATTACACAAGCTGTTACCATACCCTTAATTGGAGATGGAGACAATGGGTATGGTAATGCCATGAATGTCAAGAGAACTATCAAAGGGTATATTCGTGCGGGCTATGCTGGAATACTTCTTGAAGATCAGGTTTGCATTGCTATAAAACTCTTGTAGTGTCTTTAAAAAAAGCTCATGTAGTACCTTATAAATCTTCCTTCCATCCTTGTGAATGCATGTTTTCTTTCTACTGCTTGCTTTGTGTATGAAAGCCTATCCTTGTGTATGAAAATCTTCCTTCCATCCTTGTGATGTACTAGTATCTAATACAATTTCTTACAAGGGTCGTGTGGAATTCCTATTTGTGGAATCCCGATACTTTTACTAGAAAGTATATAGCTAAAAGATGTTACAAACAGAAAGAACTCTTCCAAGTTTTGTCACTTGGATACTACAACAATCCCGTAAAATCCCATAAAAAGTAGGGCCTGGAGAGGGTCTGGGTGTGTATGCCCAAACCTTACCCTACTCGGCCTGTTTCAAGATGTCCTGCTCAAATCCCACTTGAATATTACATTAGGAGTTTTATGCAACAACATATGGATTTCTCTTTGGAAACCTTTTGCAAAAGATGGGTTTATTGTAGCTGGATCAAATGTGTCGTAGATATGGTATAGTTTTAATGTATTGTTTGTCTATTATAATGTTCATTTTGCGGAATATGTATTTTCTTTTGCAGAAAGGTTACATGTTTTCCCTTTGTCCAAAACTAAATATGTGTCTTTGTATGTTTAGTAACCAATTCTAGAAATCATAGTGTCTATCTAGCCAAATAAACATGCTTTATAATGATAGAAAGAGACTATCATACAAAAAGAGATTATCATGCGCAAGGTATTCCTAGTATCTTGTTATGCCTTATTTTCCCTGTTTAAGAGCTAATTCTTGCATTGTTGTCTATGCTAGGTCTCTCCAAAAGCTTGTGGTCATACACGCGGCAGGAAAGTTGTGTCCAGAGAGGAAGCAGTCATGAGGATCAAAGCTGCCGTTGATGCTCGGGCAGAGTGTGGAGCTGACATCGTGATTGTAGCACGTAGTGATTCACGTCAAGCAATCTCTTTTGAAGAATCACTTTGGAGGTCACGTGCTTTTGCTGATGCGGGGGCTGATGTTCTGTTCATTGATGCTCTTGCATCAAAAGAAGAGATGAAATCATTCTGTGATATCTCTCCATCAGTTCTGAAGATGGTATGTGCTTCTCTTATGTCATTAGAGTACCATGATCAGCCCTTACTATTTCCAATGTCTGTCATGTCCCAGTTCCAAAGATGGTATGTGCTTCTCTTATGTCGTTGGAGTAGTGTAGTGCGCGCTGCACCATCACTACTCTCAAAGTCAGTTATGTCTCAGTGTAGAAAACCTGTCCATAAACATATGATCATGCTCAAGTCCTTTTCTACTTTTTTTGAGTGAAACAAATGTTATTCATGTTATATGTATTTCAATGGTTTGAGGATATAATCCACATTGAACGCCCTGACTAAAAAAACTAATATATAAAATACGAGTATGAGTTACTCCTCTCATTGTCAATTGGTTTTGGATTGGAATCTCACAATTAAACATGGCATCAAACCCAAGGCTTAGGAGCTCAAAAACGAAGCATAGGTCTTATTCGAGCAAGTGACAACTTGGGGCAAAAAGACCCAAGTTGCACTTAAAGGGGGATATTTATGATTATGTCACATCAAACAACAAGACTAAAAGAGACTAATATATAAGAATATGAGTTACCCCTCTCATCGCCAGTTGGAATCTTGCAGTTCTACAAATCCTCTCATCATTTGATGTAAACCCAAAAAGTTCTTATGAAGATTATTTTGTCTGAACTGAATTTTCAGGGAGAGCATTGATATTAAAGAAACATTTGGCTATTTGCTTTCATTATAGCATTCTTTGTTGAGTACCAGCGCAAAAACCATAACTTTTTATGCTGGGATTTTGTTGGGCCTTTGTTCTAAAGTAGATTTTACAAAAAAGATTTTGACTGTTGCCCCGTTTTAGTGTCACATTATTGTTTTCTGCAACCAAAAAAATTGTTTCTGGAACAATTTCTATTTCTGAAATGCTTTTTCATGCATTGGGACTTTGAATCAATTACATCATCAAAGAAATCAACAATCTTAGCTTTCCATAGTCTCCGGTGGAGCCAAAGGTTCACTATTTTTTGGCTTTAGGGTATGATGGAATAAACCAAAATGACTCTTTCAACTGTTGTGCTTCTTGTAATAGTAAAGTAACAGTTAGTCAATGCGACTTTCAGCACTCATCATGGGTCATTCAGAAACAGCCGCTCTATGTTTTAAACATAGGAGTCGGGCTGCGTAGGTGCTTACTTGTGGTGCTTGAGCCGGGGGTCTCTATGGAAACAACCTCCCTACTTTCGAGTAGGGGTAAGGTTTGCGTACACACCCTCCCAAGACCCTACTTTTGGGTGATTCAACTGAGTTGTTGTTGTTGTATTGTTGATACTGGCAGCGGGCTGAGTAATTCTAATATTAGACTAACATAATAACAATATTATTGCTATGGGCTACTTTTTACGAGCTTTGTCAATGAAGCTTTGACATGCTGCTATGTAGGCCAACATGCTTGAAGGTGGAGGAAAAACACCAATACTCACTCCAGCTGAACTTGAGGATATCGGTTTCAAAATAGTAGCATATCCACTTTCCTTATTAGCGGTATCTATTGGTGCAATGCAGGTAATATTTTATACTTCCCTCAACAACAACAAACCCAGTAAAATCCCCAAAAAAGTAGGGAACATCTTATACATTCCTCGAAAAGGAATTTTATGACTACTTTTTGCATTTTCCACCTGTCATTTGTTGGTTCCCATAGTTTTACTTACTCTTTTGGTGCATTATTATAAACTCTCAGTACTGCCCTATACAGGACATGCACTTATATAAAATTGTTTTCGTCTTCCTCATCCCAAACTAACTTCTTCCTGAAATTTATATAGATGGCCCCTCAGTTTTGCAGTAGGTTTAAATTCTCATTTTGGTCACCTAACTTTTACTTGGGTTCCAAATTGCTCACTTTTGGCATGTTAAGCCGAACACTTACCAAAATGCATTTCTAGCGACCAAATCATAACTTAGTTCAAAGATGTGTGGCCAAATCTACACTTAGTTACTCATAACATTTACGGGAAGAAAGAGTACAAAAGTATATGACCCTCATAACATTGCAATTAAGAGCTTAGTTAGAGCTTGTTCTCTTCGCCTTAATTTTAACTGGAACCCAAGTATGGATGTAGTAGAAATTTTAACTAAAAGTAGAATCTTCAAACTGGAGTTAAAAGTTTAAGATAACAGTCCCCTACTGTTCTTTGTTCTCTAAAATATAGATGTATAAAGGGAAATTAGAAAACTCTTTAAAAAGTTTGTTTGAATATAAATATTTCATTGTGTGTAACTTACTCTTCTTTGATCTGCAAAATATAAATATATAAATGGCAGTTAGGTAACTCTAAAATCTTTCAAAAGTTTGTTTGAATACAAATATTTCTGTGTGTAATAAAAAACTCTAGAAGAAAGTTTTATTCTATACAGATATACTTATTTGAATTATTTTGAGCCTCTAACTGCAATGTAATTTACATATTTGAAAAAAAAAACTACTTTCAGGATGCGTTGACAGCCATCAGAAGTGGTCGTTTGCCTTCACCTGGAAGCATGCCTTCATTTGAAGAATTGAAAGAGATACTTGGTTTTAACGCCTACTATGAAGAAGAGAAGCGCTATTCGATTAGCACCAGCCAGCTCTCTTCGCTGAAAGGTCCCCCCCCCCCCACCCACCCACCCACCCAATATTACTTCTTTTAAAACATATAAAATTGTTTTTACATCGATCTCATTCTTCATGATAAAAACAAACATGAGTTTTTTAAATTCAAATTAAATTAGCTTCCATTCTTCAATTATTTATACATATGCATCAAGTTTGGTACTCAGTTATGCATACCAAACCAGGTTCTCTGTCAGATGAATGTGACTATGGCGCTTCACACAATGTCGAAAATGATACAGAAGTAACAGAACTGATTAGTCAAAGAGCAGCGGATGAGGTGGTTGAAGTATTAACTCCCGAGGTATCTAATCCCTATAATGGAGATAGTTCAGGAGGATCTTTCTCAAGGATGTGGTCTCGAAAGTTGAGAGTTAAAATTACAGGAAGAGATGGATCTGACAAACTTGATATAAGAATTCCGGTAAGTCACTCTTCTTGCCCATCACTTGATGACTGCTTCTATGAAAGAAAATAAAATCATAAAAGACAGTTTAAATCCCCAATTAGTACAAAATCTACTAGAGTTTGGAGTGGTGCTACAATGCCCTCTCCCTTGCCTCACCCCATTTTCTCCATACTTCTAAGTAGGAATATGGTCTGCAAACACACACACACTCCCCACTTCTAAGTTGGGGTAAGGCCTGCGTACACATACCCTCCCAAGGTCCTACTTTTTGTGGGATTTTACTAGTTTTCTGGTTGTCACACTCATGAGGGATTGAACCCCACGAAGGGGGCCCGTTCACTCACTTACCGTATTTGCAATTGTGCATGAGGTTACACCACCACCCACATTGTTGCGTTAACCCCGAAATTCGAAGTGTGTGCTTGCAGCGACAATGCCATGCTTTTCACAATTCTAGTGCCCCCCCCCCCCCCCCCNGGGGTGCAAACTTTTAATCGTGCTCACTTGGGGGGAGGGGTGAATGTTTTCACATGAGGACACTCCTTTGTTGCAAAAATTCCTTCATCCTTCCTTCCCCGTCTAGTTAATCCCATGATTTGCATCTTCATGCTCCATGTTAGGAGTAGCCCATTTTTAGTATTATGAACATGACTCTTCTCTCGAATCTCGGCACAGAAATATACATTACTACTGTATTCCTCAATCCGTATAGAGTATTATTCATGATTTGCCTATACTTATCTGACCCTTCTCCCCCATGTTCTTAAGGCTGGATTTTTGGAAGGAATCACTAACATAGTCCCAGGTATCGTCTACCACCAAACGCATCATCAATCACTTCTGTTGATTGTTTAAAATGCATCGTAAATCTTATAAGTCTCTTGTGTTCTCTTGTATATATGCAGCACTAGTGGGGGTGAACTTGAAGGACCTTTTGGAGAATACCATTTCTGAAGATGGAGGGAAGCAGTTGTTAGATTTCAAGGATACAATGGGTGACAGGATTCAAGTTTTCTTGGAGTAAGCGAACCGGAGTGACTAATATGGTTCTGAAAATCGAATCGGTAAGTTGATATTCTAATCTTAAACTTGTATATAAACAGAAAGAAACCATGCCGAGTAAGGCCCCGTTTGGCATTAGCTTCGGTGTATTGAGAATGCTATCCAAGGATAGCTTCTAACTTTGATGTTTTCAAAGTTAATACGGGGTATGTACTATGAAATTTATAATTTGTAATCAAGTTTCTAAATTTTGATTAAAAAAAGTTGAACTGCGGCGTTTTTTAAAGGACAGAGGAGTATAATCTTTAATTTTTGACATGTTACAAAATGATTTAAGAGCAATACTAGTGGTACACCATGTTGTACCCAACACTCATCTAAGCACACCATTATTATCGGCATTTTACTACCTCCGTCCCAAAGTATTTGTTCACTTTTGACTTTTTTCAGTCAACTCTTTTTAACCTTTGACATATAATTAAATAAAATATATATTGTATATTAATTAGATAAAATAGTATTTTGAAAATATCTTATATAATAAATTTAATAAAATTATTTTTGTATCAATATATCATATTACTGTCCCTGAGTATTTGTCCACAATTTTGACTCTTTTGGTAAATTGTTTTTAAACTTTTGACCTATAATTAAATAAAACAAACATTGTATATTAATTAAGATAAAATAATATTTTGAAAATGTTTGATATAATAAATCTAATAAAACTATCTTTGTATCAATATCTAATATCATTTTTATTTAATGTGAGGTAAAAGTTTATCAATTTTGAACGAAAAAAAATCAAAAGTGGACTAATAGTTAGGGATGGAAGAAGTTTCATTTTTATTTAATTTGGATCAAAAATTACTAATTTTGACCAAAAACGTCAAAAGTGGACAAATACTTCATGGCGGAGGGAGTATTTTTTTACACAAAATATAATATCTTGATTTAAAAATAAATGGATTAGAGAAAGAAAAGGTTTAAAATGATTAATAGTACTACTCATACCAACAAGGTACATCTCCTTTTCGAGAGCGCTATCCTTTAGAAATTCCAAAGTTAAGCGTACTTGACTTGGAGCAATTTTAGAATAGGTGACCCCCTTGAAGTTTCTTGGGCGCGTACTGTTGGGAATTAAAACACACAACACACACAAATAATCTGCGAGAAACGAGAGAAACAGAACACAAATGACACAAAAGAATTTAACGTGGTTCGGTTTCCCTAATCCACGGCTGCAACAGGAGGATTTTCTTATTTCACTTGTGGTGCAGCCGTAGATTAGGGAAACCGAACCACGTTAAATTCTTGTGTGTCGTTTGTGTTCTATTTCTCTCGTTTCTCGCAGATTATTTGTGTGTGTTGTGTGTTTTAATTCCCAACAAGTGGTATCAAAGCCTTGGTTGTTCAACACGAGAACACGAATAGCGAGAAGCTGTCACCTAGGGTTTGCAGATCTGGATCGTTGGATTGTGGAGAAAGAGAAGTGTAGCGCCGCCTGTTCGAGAAGGGGAGATCTTCGCAGGTGTTCGCCACCATCAGCGAGCCGCCGCTGCATCCCTTCTAGCGCCGTTGTCGACCTCCTGGATCGCGAGGCCGTGCAGAAGGCAGTCCAGCCGCAGAGCCGCCGCCAGGTTGAGAAGCCGCCGCGAAGCCACGCCGTTTCAGATTGCGCCGCCGCCGTCAGATCAGATCGTCGCCGCTGGGTCTTGCTGCCGTCGCCGCGAGGATCGTCGCCGTCGTTTGCGCACAGACCGCCGCACACAGGAGCAGCGGTAGAAGGAGTCGCCGCCGTCAGGAACCGTCCGTCGAGATCGCTAGCTGCGAGCCGTCACCGCCATCCAGACTTTGTGCTGCCGCCGTCGTGTTGCTGTTGCCGACAGTTGCCCTAGCGCACAGAACAAGGACCGAAGAAAAAAAGGGTCGGCCGGTTGCAAAAAGAGAGAAGGCAGTGGTCACTGGTCAGCCTTTCTCCATTGTTTTTTGGGCCGTAGCATTTTTTTGGTGGGTTGGTTTTGGGCTTGATTGATTGAAGTGGTGGACCTGTTTTTCTAACGAAATTACCAAGATCTGAAATTTTAGTTACCGGGTATCTCGTCTAGTCATGTGATATGGCAGAAGACGGGAAGTTCCGAATTGAGAAGTTCGATGGTACAGATTTCAGTTGGTGGAGGATGCAAATTGAAGATTTGCTGGTTCAGAAAGATTTGGACGTGGTTTTGGGTGACAAGCCAGAAAAGATGTCGGATGCAGATTGGGCAGGTTTGGATCGGAAAGCTATGTCCGTGATCCGTCTCTCGTTGACCAAGAATGTTGCGTTCAACATTCTGAAGGAGAAGACAGCGAAGGGAATTATGGATGCGCTGTCTAACATGTACGAGAAGCCATCTGCAGCGAACAAAGTTTTTCTGATAAGAGAGCTGGTGAACACAAAAATGAAAGAAGGCACTTCAGTTACCGAGTATATCAAGAAGTTGAATTCGATCTTAGCCAGACTTGCGTCAGTGGGCATTAAGTTCGATGATGAAGTTCAAGCTTTGCTACTGCTATCGTCTTTGCCTGATAGTTGGTCCGGAACGGTTACAACGGTTACCGATTCAGTGGGGCCTGATGGATTCACCTTTGATCAGATTCGAGATCTCATTCTTGGCGAGGACGTCAGAAGAAAGAGTTCAGGGGAGTCATCTGGTGAATTGCTTCATGTTGGTAGAGGCAGAAGGAATAACAGAGGTAGTGGGAGCAGAAACAGACAAAGGAGTCAATCAAAGACTCGGGATAGCTCAGGTGTAACATGTTGGAAGTGCAAGGAGGTGGGGCATTTCAGGAATCAGTGCCCGAAAGAGGATAAGCAAGTGAACATTGCTAGAGGCTCCGCGAGCGACGAGGATTTGTTTATCTGTTGTGCGGAGAGCAGTGTAGATTCCTGGGTCATAGATTCTGGTGCTTCATTTCATGCTACCCACAGCGGTGAAGAATTGCAGAATCTAGTTGTTGGGGACTTCGGAAAGGTACGACTAGCGGACGACAGAGCTCTTGATGTGACGGGCATGGGTGACATAGTGCTGAAGACCGCAGTCGGTTTCTGGACTTTGAAGGATGTCAGAGTGGTTCCAGGCGTGAAGAAACGTTTGATTTCTGTCAGGCAGTTGGACAAACAGGGACACGAGGTGAAGTTCAGAAACGGGCAGTGGAAGGTCGTGAAGGGAAATCTTGTCATGGCCCGCGGAAGGAAGAGTGGGTCGCTGTACATGGTCGGGTTACCGTCTGAGGGAGGGACCGTCCCAGTTCAGAAGAAAAACAAAGTCCGGTTCACAGAGTCTCGTGGGCAGAATAAGGTTGTCTGTGCAAGAGAGAAACCTAGAGCCACTGGTCAGACTCAGGATGAACGAGCGTGGAAAGGTTCAAGGAGGCCAGTCAGAGGTATTTGTGGCATGGGAGCTCAAGAGGCGCTTCAGCCAAGTTGCCTAGAAGACAGTGGGTCAGAAGAACCAGTATTCCAGCTGTTGGAACATCTCCAGAAAATTTCTTGCTGAGTACGGAGATTGTTTGTTCTCAGGATGTTCCAGGATCCGGCAGTGTGCGTCTGCAGTGGGAGCCGGTAGGGACCGAGGACGAGTCAGGGGCAGATTTTGCCGTGACTGATGTGTTGGAGTTTGGGAGAGCTTCAACGGGCCTTTCAGTTGTCTGATGATAGGGCCGCTGCAACAGGAGAGTTGAGGAAGATTACTCGATGTACAGGGAATCATGGTGGATGGCAGTTGATGACTATCAAGCCTCCAAGTGGGAGAATGTTGGGTTTGTGGAGGCTTGGGCTTGACTTTTGGCCCGGCCCATTTTACGGAACCCTAGATGCACTCTTCCTATATATATTGCATACTTGTACTTGTAATCGGCACCACAAGTGAAATAAGAAAATCCTCCTGTTGCAGCCGTGGATTAGGGAAACCGAACCACGTTAAATTCTTGTGTGTCGTTTGTGTTCTATTTCTCTCTTGATTCTCGCAGATATTTGTGTGTGTTGTGCGTTTTAATTCCCAACACGTACGAGTGAGAACAAAGATATATCTATGTATAAAATATATTTATGTATAAATATAAATATTAATGGTCAAAGTGGTAACATTAGAGACTGACAGAGTGTGGAAAGTTAAATGGAAAGAATATTTCCGGACGGATAGAGATTTAAAATGCTATTTATCACACTTTCACATTTTTCAAATAATTATGTTCAGTCAAAAGAGTTAAAGATACTTGAACTTCTTGAGTTGTCTCATTTAAAAATGACAAATAACTAATTCGTAGGTCTAAGCTAGACCTATGAATTAGTAGTGTGGTGCGTTGGTTTGTACATAGGGATGGCAATTTTATCCGAATCCGGCTTTTTCTGACCCGACCGATGTATATAATATCCGAATCTGACCGGAAAAATAAATATCCGAAACCGACTCGAAGATTTTAAAACCGAACCCGATTTTTCTCGGGTTAGTTTTCGGTAATTAAATTTGACCGACCCGACCCGTACCCGACCGACCTGATAATTAACCCGAAATAAAAGGCCTTTTTAAAATATAAAAAAACCTTTTTCAATTAAAAGTCTTTGGCTTACGGGAGTTACCAGTTACGGACTTGAAAAATATTTGTGAAAACTTGTTATATTTATATGTGTTGTTTCTCTTGTGAAATATTTGTGAAAACTTGTTATACTTCCATGTTTTGGTTGTTATTTGGGACACATTTTTTTTAATATCTTAATTTTACGATGTCTTTGAACGTGCAAATGTTTTTATGTATTGGAATTCTAATTATATCATTACACGCATTTATTATTTTATCATTATTTTAATAAAAATCATTACATAAAACTGATTTATTAGGATATTTGTACGGTCAGTCGGGTCGGTCGGTTTTCAAGTCGGGTTAGGCTTAGGTTTTTGTCAAATTCTCGGGTTCGGTTGCGGTTTCGGGTTTCGGTTTAGGCAGTCGGGTTCGGGTTTGGGTAGAAATTTATACCCGACGATTCAAATTCAGGCAAAAAAAATATCCGATCAAAATTTCGGATCGGTTTCTGGTAAGGGTATATCCGAATCGAACCCGACCCGTTGCCATCGCTATTTGTACATGATCATCTACCCTTCAAAGTTTTGTCGAGAGACAAATGACCCAATATGGGATGCAAAAGGGAGTAAGAGCATGAGCAGCAGCGAGGGGTGTGAGTGCCTCGCCGTGCCAACTTAGCTTTTGTAACGCCCCGAAAATAGGCCTATCAGAATTAATTAATTAATTACTGAGAAGGACCCAAAAATAAGTAAATTCTAAAGTTTGTCAATAATTAATAAAAATTATATCGTTGTGTAGAGTTTGACTGTCTGATCCCAACGGTTCAAACGGACTTCAATTTAGAGAAAGTTGGACCAAAAAGTATACCCCAATTGGGACCAAAATTAGTCCCAATCAGGGAGTACACACCAAACGGCGCCCCGTTCAATTACGCCAATTCCAAAATGCAAATCGCCGCACAATCACGGAAGCAACCAAGCCCGTGTCTTCTTCTTCTCCACTGGCCTATTTAAGCACAACTCAACTCCCTCAATTCCTCACCAAAAACATTCATTCTTCCTCCTATATTGTTTCTTACTGGGAGTAGAGTGCAGTGGTGCTGTCATCTCTGTGTGAGGTTGCCGGAGCAGTGAGATAGAGTCGCCGGAAGTTTCGCCGGAAAATCGTCAAAACCTCTTACGCTTTGAGATAAGCCCGTAGATATATCTAATGACTGGAATGTTCATATAGGTCGTTTCTACGTTCATAAATGGTCATTTGGTTGAGTTTTGTGTTTGACATGTTTGAAGAACCAAGAATCATAAACCTTGAATTTGATGTTAAAAATATGTTTTAATAATTCTAATATGATCTATGAACCTTGGAGAACATCTCTATATAGTTTAATTGAAGTTCGGTGACTAAAAATGGTTTTCCCGAAAAATGGACCGAGGTTGAAGACGAATGAACAGTGGCTGAAAATCCACAGAGTGGATCGATCCCCTTCATTGGATCAATCCTCTAGGAGTTTTTCTTCTAGTTGGATCGATCCATAGGGCTGGATCGATCCTCCGAAACTCTGGTCCGAAAATTTGTCTGAAATTGCTATTTTGAGCTCTAAAATCCTATTTTTGATACCAATTGATTATGATTATTATAAAAATGATTTTTCACAACAAAAATGATGTTTTTAACAAATTAAAACATTATGTGATGCATGACGTTAAGTTCAGGTGTTAACACTCGAGACTAGGCCGCTATTTGTTATTAAACGATGTGTTTAATGATCTTTATGATAAATAATTTTTATGGATGATTATGAATGATAAACCTACTGATTAGGATTATTATTAATGATTAAATCATTATTAAAATTGAATATAATGAGGATCACGAAATCAGTGTGTTGTTAAGGCTATTTCGAAGACCTCTAAGATAGACCTCAAATTAGATTGGGCCTTGCAGGTATAAATATGTATATTCGGTGGCCTTGGGTAAAAACGTACGTACGGGATCCATAAACCAAACTAGAGGAACTCGTTTGGAAATACCACCCAACCCGACAGTTAGTATTCTACTGTTCGGTTTTTTGGATTTGTACCTTAAGCGAAGGCTAGTTTAAGAGTTGGTAAATCAATCGGAATATGTACCTTAAACTAATGACCTAGCTTAAGAGTTGTTTAGAAGTACCTTGAACTAGAAATAGTTTAAGAGTTGGTAAACATCAAAAGATTGGCCTTAGACTAAGCATAGTTTAAGGATATTGTTAATATTGAATATTGAACATGAGTGTTGATTATTGAGATATTGAAATAAAAACATTGAGAATATCATGAATGAATATTGTGTGCATGATAACAAATGGTTATTTGTGAATTAAGATTCAATTTATGTGAATGTTCGACGCTTTAGATATGCTTACTCAGCTTCATCGCTGAGCGTGTAGTGTGTTTTATTTGCTACACGCAGGTAGGCAGAATGAATGATTGGCATGATCCTGGTACCGAATGAGGCGAGACTGTTGTGGTGGAATTTGTGATTTTTAAAATAAATAATCGTGTTGTTATTAAACATTGGTTTAAATTGCTTCCGCATTACTGTTAAACACTCCGTATTTTGCTACAGTGATGTATTAAATAATATTTATGATGAATAAAGGTATTTGAAATGTTTTAAATTCTACGATTACCAAGTTAATACTTTAGTCCAAAAAGGGCTGCAGACCTGGACGGATTAGGGTGTTACAGCTTTCTCTTCCAAAACCGTGGCATGGCACCCCATTTTTTACTTGGCTTGCGAGTAACCTGCGCAAATTTTTTTCTTTTTGTTTTTTTTAATTTTTTAATTTTTTATTTTGTATAAGAAAATAGCTTTGCTTTTTAATAGAGTATGTATATCTATTTTTGTAAAAAAAAAGATAAATAAAATATTTTTTAATAATTAATATACATAAAAAAGTGTAAAAAACAATGACTTGCCACTGCATAACATTCCACTCCACTCACTTACCACACGCTGACTAAGATGTTTTTAATTGGTTCAAATTTTCCACATCACTGTGTGGCATTCCATTTTTGCCTCACCATTGTACATGCTCTAATGGCCACAAGGGGATCCATGTTATTAGATATGAGGGTAGTGGCCCCGAGTTATTTTTTTTATTTTTATATAGTGTAAAAGAATTTTGTGGTAAATTAAAAGACCGTCCCCAGTAAAAAAAATTGTGGCCAGAGTGCTAGAATAAAATTATAATTTCAAAGTAAAATATAATATTTAAATAAAATATAAGGATAAAATATTAGTCTTGAAAAAATGACGGGAGTGCTTATTCTAATATTAGCCTTTATAAATATTTCATTTTCTATATGAACACTTATTTCAAAATAAGCTTATTCATTTTTCATCATAATAGCTTTGAAAAAAATGAGGGGTGCTTCCAAACCTCGCCCTACTCTTTACTATGAGTTTGCCCGCAATCATATTTTTTTCGGGATCCGTCACTACTAATGCCTCTAGACAATCATGGGTAGTTTCAATCTTTACACATATCGTATCCTATCCTATATATCCTATCCTATATCCTATATCCTATCCTATCTTAAATATCATATATCCTCCTCTATATGTGTGTGTGTGTGTGTGTGTGTAAAGGAGAGTTCATTAGTTGTAGTGGAGACACGTGGCGTATGACATGGCAAAATGTTTATCCATGTGGCATAGTGTCATCATTTTATTGGTCCACATGGCATTTATTACTTTATTTTTATTTAAAAAATTGTTCATGATTATTTCTTTTAATTACCATAAACTTGTAATTATAATACTTTTCACATTCTAATTATCATATTAATATGTCCTTCATCATCTTAAAATATATTTTAATATCTTATAATTAATTAATTACTTTTTTAAGGGTTTTATAAACTTTATTAAATTTTTTAAAAGACAACTCTTTGTATAATTTCTTACACCATTTTCCCCTTTTATTCCATTTAAAAAAATATATTTATATGAAATATAATACATTTGCGTCATTCTTAAAATTGTATAGATTAACATGAAATATAATACATATTAAAAATATAGATTTATTTTTTAACAATTGCATAAGCATTAGTTAAAATTGTTTTCCATTTCTTATATATTTATTTATTGTATCCACCATTAAAAATATCATATTTAGTAGTTAATATATATATATATATATATATATATATATATGTATGTATGTATGTATATGCACATACCAAAGTTAAAATATCTATTATTATATTCAATGGCTAATGCTTTTGCATAAATTGTTTTATTTTCTTAGTATTATATGAATATTCATTTAACGACAATTACCAACCTTA